CCTATAGTTTCTTTTCTTTTCTTTCCTATCCTGATGATGCCTGAATTGGTAAATCGTAGTGGGCTTATTTTATTCTTTGTATGCATTTTAAATAAACAAAGATGTGAGGTTGCAGTTTCCAATTATGCGGTAACATTTATTCTCTCCTCTCCCCCCTCCCAAGATGTGGTATTGATATACAACTTATCATAATTTTAATAAACAACGCTCCCAAGTAATGTTTACAGTTTTGAGCTATATTCACATGTTTAAAAAAAATGAGTTACACTATTCATGGGAAAACATAGTTATTTATCTCAGAAATATGAGTAGTCTTTCTTTCGCAGATACACACAACCGACAATTTGTATCCCGACGACTCAGTGACGGTTCCATGATATCCAACAACTTGTTAAAAGTCGAAATCTCCATTTTATAGTACTAGTAATACTTTATTGAATGGTTCAGTAATTGCTGAGACACCATAGCTATAATCTCCAGCATTATTCCAGTATGGATGCTCCCATAAACGTTTTCTACTTAGTCTTCGTCTTCTTCTTACTGTACAAGCCAGAATTATAATTCCATCGTCCGAAGAATCGAAAGATTGATTATTCATATTTCAAACTCACTTACTAAACTAACAGATTACCTATTTCAGTAATTAATAACCTAATCCAACATGAGTTCTGTATTAAGTATAGAATAAATTTGTGTAGCTCAAATTAGATATATTCGTTCTACAGAACTATTTTACAAATTATATATATTTACGTAAATGTACTAAAATGAGAGATGAAAATAAAGTAAATTCGTAAAAACTAATACCTTCTCCCCTTCGGCAACCTGTTGTACCTAAAACTAAGGTGGATGGGCTTAATGTTGTTATGTGCCCATCTACTGCTCGGCGGCTCCTCAGAGAAGTCCCCAGACTGTTCAGTGATAATTACATCTTTAGTGGTCCTTACCAAACGAGTTAACAAGATCTTTTTTACCATCGCACAGAGGAGCAAAAGGACAATTTTGCGAATAAAATGGCGTAAAAGAAAAAACCGGCAATAAGTAACAACTACTAATTCATTTGTACATCCTTATTCATGATAATCTGACGAAAGATTAGATTAACCGTGCTCGTGCGATTAACCTCCGATGAGTATTTAAGGACATAAGTAAAGAGTGGAAAAAAGACAAATAACGTTACTAATTTCAATTCCAAGCACAAAAATGTCGACCACACATCTAAATCACCACCTCTATAAGAGAAATTCATTTAAACCTGTATTGAAACAAAGACGTAACATTAAAATGGAAAAACAATGCAATTTGTGAAAGTTTTAAGACTATGATTTAGATAGCAACGAATTTGTTTAATATGAAATAATAGATCGATGTCGCTAATGCAATTTTAAATTTAATTAAATTTTCAGGTCACGACATATCGCTCCACCAGATCAGCAAGAAAGGGAAAACGGTCCACCAGAAAAACGTGATCGATCTTCTTCCCAAAATTAAGAGCTCAACATTTGAAGAATTCGAAAATTTTGTCATCTAGGTTGAGGTTTATGAATGGATGTAGATATTGGTATAATTTTGACTGGTTCAAATTTTGAGGAGAATAATCATCAGTAATGGATTCAGAATTTTACTTTGTGAGCCAACTTTTTTTTTTTTTTTTTAATATAAGCGATTAAAGGATCAATAATGTTTTAAGAGATAAATTGTTAGCTTGGCATGTGTTTATATATTTTTTTGCCCTTTCCTATACGGAGTTTTCCCGTGCCACGAGGTGAGGGCGGGGGATTAATGATAGCTAAAAGACCCCACGGCACCGGAACGCGAACTCGTAATTATATTATCCAATTATCTTCCATCTAGTTGCCAGGCAAAGCGGTGCTGTGCACAGGCGTTAATTCACTTGGCTCCTCTGCTCCCTATGTGCTCAGATTTAATGGCTGAAGCATATGTGTTGTAATTAACAAAATATATATATCGTGATTGTTTTCGTATTTGGACCTTTTTTCCCCAATAACCCTATTTTTTCCCCCGACCTCGCCATTTCTGGAATTGGTGGGAAGGTTGAGATTCATTCAGTCCGCCACGAAATAAATGTCCGGATTCGAACGGAAGTCACTGGACTCCAGTATATTAAAGTTCATGCTTTAACACCCTCGGCTATCACGAATTAAGTATTTGGACTATATCATTCATAGAAACAATCAGGAGGGGGAGGGAGAGAGTATGGTTTCAGCTGGAAAGACTCCTCCCTCTTGAATCGGCTGGAGATCATGATCGCCACCAACTGTAAAATTGAAGAGGCCTAGAGCATCTACTTATGTTTTTATACTCTCTTTGCCAATACTGTCTCAGAAAAAAAAAAGCGTGTGGATGTATTCTGTGCGTTAATAAATATAAAAAATGCAATCCATCATAGACTGTTTTTCAAAGGATTCTAAAATGTTTAATTATCAAGAGTCTTGTTTTAATAAATCTAGGTTATAACTTTATTTATCTAATTAGAATCATTCTTAAATAAGTATTGATAGTATATATAAACAAAAAAATAAATACGTAAACAAAAATTTCTATTGTAAACAGAATATGAGGGTCAGGAATTTAATGAAGATAACATAAACATTCCATAATAGGCCTATAACTGTTGTGAAGGGATTGGAATACTCATAATTGATCAGACAGAAGACTTGAAACAGAAGACTTAACAAATATCTAAGCGATCAAATAAAAAAACATATTTACTACTAATGTAATGATTCTAGCTTAGGAGATGTCCATCTGTGATATGAGAATCATATGTAGAATTAATTTAAATATAATGTCCAAATAGCTTCATAAACATTTCAGTAATCAGCAACACAATTTATAAATATTTAATAAATTACGTAATCACTGAATTACATTAATAACCATTGATAAAAACTCTTAAAACGTAAACTGGAAATGAAGGACCAACTTAACCTAATTAAACAACTGATTATTTTTCATCAATTTAAACTATTCACAAACATCAACACGTAATTAAGAATCATACAAATCGATACATCATCTTTCCACTAATGATTCTAAAAAAAAATTATAACGGTCAAAAATCTATTCTATAAAGCTAAGAGAAGTTTACAGCTGCGATATTATTATATTCTTTAATTTATAATTTGTCAATCAAAAGAAAATATTTGAAATAGACCAAACTAAATAATGATCTAGAGATAACAAAGCAGGTTTCAAAAGTTCAAACAAATTCATATTAAGAATTAACAGGTACTTATAAATTGTTTGTAATTTTTATACAAATACTATTTAATTAAATAACGTAACCTGGTATGGATATAGCATCAAATTTCAGCAATGTAAAAAATCTCAAATGTCTACTATCATTGATAAACCTCATATCAATTAAACCAATTAATTACCAATAACAAAGAATGGCAACAGAAAGAAATCTAGATCAAATTACAATAGATATTGCTGAGAAATAAAATAAAAGATATCATTCATAAATCCTATTTAATTGAAAAGCTAACGATTATTTTTCAAGTGATATTAGCAATAATTCATGGTACCAATCCTAGTTCATCAAAAAATGCACAACACTGAATGATTAAGATAACCTTTTTTTTTTTGCTCTCTTTAAGCTTTGCAGATTTTTACCAATCTTGAACCAACTTTAGGATCTTAACCTATCCTTTTACATTAGTTTTTAGTGAAACAATGAATAAAAACTTGTTTATTTTGAGTATCCATCTAGTTTCCGATCTCCCTTTAAGCCATTTTAAAATGGCAGCTTATAGGCAAGACTTATACAAGATGGCTAAACTCTCATTTTTTAAGCTGTAATCCCAGGTCATTCCATTCATAAAAAAAAAAATCAATCCTACTTAATTGAATTCTCTTAAGAGATCAACTTTATAATAGTAAAAAGTAAACATTTGTATGGCTTTCTATGATTACTCAATTATTGGGAAAGGTTCCTAAACACTTTTATAAATTTTGTAAAAATTGTATTTTCATAATTTCAACTAAAGATTCAATTCTTTAATTGAATTTAAAAATATTAAAGTGTGTTAGTTTTGAAAGTAAATTCATAAATGGCAAAAGCCTTTTTCAGAAAGCACAGCGGCCCAGTATGTTGTGGCAAGTAGTGAATGCTTAATTCATTAACGGCTTATGTTAATAATATGAAGGACAAATAGTATACATCTTGAAGTTTTAACTCTGACTAAAATAGGTTGGTAACCTGGAAATAACCCTCCTTCTTAACCTAGTTAGGGTAATTAAAAACAATAAAAAATATTTTAAAAACAAAACAATTAGAATTTTTAAAAAAAAACAGGCAATGTTTTTTATTGTTATTTACATTAATGGAATTGTTCTATCCCTTATTAATTCTGAAACAAAGCTACTAACAAATCAATCAAATATGTACTGCTAGTACAAATTATGATAAACTGATATTCACTTTTGAAGAACCTAACAGATGAACAATTCATTATTAAGACCAAATTTGTATTCTATAAATGCAAGTATTCACTAACCTTAAAAGAATGATTGATGCACTTATAATTCATACAAATCACACATTCAATGTAAATGTTTGTACATTCACATAAATACAAAGATTCTACCACAGACTATTTTTAATAAATTGGAGATTTTAATAGGAATGTGTTCTGATATGTAACGATCAATAAACATTTACATTAAATATTTGACATACATTAAATGTTTGAAAGTAAATAAAATATCATAAAAATAATGGAAAGAACTATTCAGTGTTGAGCTTTATTTAAAAACTGTCTAATTGACATTAATTCTAAAAACACTAATTATGAAGGAAAAAATTCTGTTTAGTTTAAAATTTTGAAATGTGTATATTACTGTGATTAATAAAAAAAAGAAAGACTTTTATGAAAGCACTTACATATATAAAATAAATCCAAAAATATATAAAATGCTACAATTAATTAATACAATCGCTATATCATAGGTAAAAAAAAAATATAAAATACCTCCAGTTGACCTCCAACGTTCAGTCATCCCGCCAATGCCAAGTGGCGAAACCCCATCTGAAGTCTCCTAAAAAAATTTAAATAACATTATAGTGATTTTCTCTCTGACAGAGTTATATTTATAACCTTATGACAATTATATATATAATATCAATAATAAATAATAAATCATCTATTAATCAATTTAAATCTTGCATGCAGGTTAACACTACCTCACATCTATTATCAGGGACATTTAATGAACACGAAATGAAAATGTCACTACAGCTAAGAGACATTGTACATTCCAAACAGTAGCAATTTAAAATTAAAATAACTAAAATCAAGATTAACAGTAATGTAATAAAAATGCAGATGTTGAATGCAATAAAATGCAGATGAAATTTTTAATAAAAGTTATTTTCTTAAATAAAACTAAATAAGGTAAAATGAAGCTGATAATAAAAATTAAACAAATGAAAAATTACAATTAAATCATTATTTTTAAATTAAAGATTATAAAATTGATGTAATTTTAATTAAATTTTAGGGACTAATATACGATGTTATTAAATTATATAATCTTAAAAATTACGGAAATTATGATTTCAAATGCTTGCTAGTGGCAACCCTCATTTTACTAATTCGGCAAACTCTTGATTTACTTTTTTTCATCGATGCCGATAAGAAAGGGATACTGTTTAAAGTGAATTACCTTCTTGAGATGTCCAGTGATGCCTCTAATGTTGACTGTTATTCTTCAAACACCGGACACACGACACATTAATATTCAGATAATCACATTCACAATACCTAATTAGATGCCCAAAACTAAAGAAAAGAGAAAAACCTCATCTATAATAAGATGGCGGCCAGCGGCCTGTCGCTGATAGAGACCTCTCCTTTCCTTGCATGGTCACTAAGACCAACCAGTAATTGTTTACTCATCCATTGAACCATCAATAAAACAGAACTGCTAAAAATCAATCGGTTTTATTAACTGGAAGATAATCCGAAGACCAACTTCTGACGCTTGTTAAACATTCAGAGATAGTCCACGAATAGTAATAAAATCTTCGGTATTGTTACCCTTTATTAAAAGAGGCAATGAAACAGAGCCGAATTGTTTTGCACAGGTGACATACTGACGTCATGTCATGACTACTTGCCTAATATCTGGCCATTTAATAGCTCGGATTAATGTATGTGCATTAAGCTGAAATATTAAGGCGTACTGCAGTAGACATAGCCATGTACAATGCTAATCACGTATCATTTAAAAGAGGAAAGTTTCTTAAACCATTAACTGGCTTCAAGAGCTAGAATCACTAGGAAGGTAAACAATCTTAAAAACAACCTCACTTGGAAGAAACCTATGATTGACAAAGAGAAACATTGTGTACTATAAATTGTATAACCTCTTTGGAATGATAAGAAGCGAAGATACTGCACTCTCACGGAATTTTTACGTAGATAAAATATCGTATGAATACTTTTCTTCAATTTCCGTTTTAAACCAATTTCAAAAAATCTCCATCAATTTAAATAAAAGAGATGAAATGAAGAATGTATACGTAAATTTATAATAAAAAATTAATTTTTTTTTTTTTAATAATTTCCCAAAAGTAGTGATTTGGAATATCAATGCAACTACTCATAATATAGAAGCAATTTTAACTTAATAGTATTATTATTGTAAAAAAATATGTATTACTTTGCCGTGAAAAATTAACATTTAACATTTAGGATATGCATCCTAGACTTTAAGAAAAGCTAAATGATGGAAGAATGAAAATGAGAAATCAACTAAAATGATTTACAATAAACTAGTTTATAAATATGCATATATAACCTATATTAAAACAGATAGATCTGTAGATAGGTTGTGTTAAATATGGTTAATTTCAAATAGTTCATGATATCTATTTTTATTTATATATACATATTTGTAACAGGATAAATTTGCTATATACTATTGTATTAAGCAAATATGATGTCAAGATGGGCAGAACAAAGAAAAAAAAAAAATTATCACCCATGATATGAAGACTATTCAATTAACTTTGTTCAGTAATTCATTCAATCACTTGTACTATTAATCAATACACATCAAGAATACAGATTGTCACTGAAATCCACCATTGTATTAAACAATTTTTCAGTCCTAATAATGACCCACATGTTTGGATTGAAACATCCTCACCAATAAAATCTTAAAAGGACTACCTAAATTCTGACTATTTACCACACATAAAAAAACAAAACAAGAAAGAGTATCAATTTCAAAACTAGTTAAAATAAATAAATAAAAGTAAATTACAAAACTATAAATAAGATCACGTAACACAGCAATTAGCTCAATGCAGCAAGCATTTTTTTCAGCGGCACAGCAGTCTTCTGTTCGGATCTACAAAGTATTTTTTATTTTCATGAGTTATAAATCTTTTACCTATTGAAATAGGAAGCAATTATTTTGTTTTATTGGTTTTTATTATAAGAAGTGGGTTGTTATTAGAAAAAAAATATTTTTTTTAAAACCCAGGTTATTGAAATTGGTAAAAATAGAATGCTACACAATAGTTGATTTTTTAACCTTCATCTGTAGGACTCCTGTTGATAGACAGTAGATAGGGTCTGACTTCAATATCTTATTCCTCAGTTTGTTTATTCATTATTAGTTATTTCCTAACAATTGATATTTAATTGTTTTTAAATGGCTTATTCAGATTTGTATCAACATTAAAACTATATAACTGGATTATTTACAGAGATGACATTCATAATAAATAAAATATAAAAATAAATAAATTATATATAAATACTCATTCACATTACTATGTTGCAAAAAGAAAAGCTGTAAGGGGAAGCCCATTATTCAATAAAAAAATTAAGATAAAATGGACTAAGTTGTTTAAGAAAAAAAATGGTTTATTCTTTGGTTAGGAGCGCCTATCAAATTATCTCAGACAATGGTTTTCTGTTAAATAAGAAAGAGATGTGAAAAAATAAATTATTTTATAAAAGCTTGGGTAGATGATTGTTCTTGAGAGAAAAGATTTAAAATTTGTCTAATCAATTTTCTAATTTTCAAGCTACTGGGTTGTGCTTGAAATAAACCTTTCTCTTTCTTTCCCTTCCATAACTATTCACAGAAATGACCACATAAGATATCCCTCAAACAATCGAACAGAGAGTTAAGTCCAGATAGGACTCCAGCTGCAGAGCATTAAAAATATTTATTAAACAATTAAAAAAAAGTAAATGTAATTTTCTTTCAATATTTTAAGTCTTCATCGTTTAGTCAATATTCTTACATTAAAGATAGGCAACTGCAACATTCTTAGAAAAAGAACTTTGACTGACACTTTTGGACTGAAAAAGCAGAAAATGGACGCAGTTCTATAAAAGAACACTCATTTATTAGTAAATGATTACAGTATAGGTTCAATAAATATATCTAAATTCAAATATGACATTTACAAAAAAGGAAGAAACAAAAATAGAATCAATTTGTAATAATTATTTATTTTCATTAAATATATTCTATTTTAAATAAAGGTATTTAAATATAAAGAATAACCATTTTCCAGTATATAAATAAATATTTTGAGTAGTACTAATTTTTGATGAGCAAAACATGACATGACTAGTAATAGTATAATAAATAAAGTAACAGATAATCTAATCCAGATCAATCAAGTAAAATAAATTTTCAAAATTTAATATTCCTGGTTTAGGTTTTATCGTAAACTAAAGCTAACACTAATTATTTAATATTGCAAAAACTTAACCAATAACACCGATAATTAACAAACATATACATAAAAAAAAAAAAATAAATAATCACGGTAGAGATATCATAATAAAATGTGTAGACAAACCCTTAAATTGATGTATTTGCTATGCATTGATTTATGCTTACAACAGCACAAGTAAAAGCTTTAACAAAAAAATACACTTCATAATATTAAATCATCTACATAAATATTTGTCTGAGTCTACAGGGGAAAACATATATTACAACCAACAATGATCTAAAATAACAACCATTTACCTATTAAAAACTAAACTTACATTCAGGATTATGGAAATATTTATAATAAATCATTGGGTTGAAAATAAATGTGATCAAATTAAATTTCTGCGAAGATAAGAATTTTTTGTATCTATCTTTGCGTAATCACACCAGTTTGACAAAATTGTGTAATCAATGATGATCGGTAATAATTTTCTATAATTTCACAATGTCACTACTGAACCTTAAGGTTTAGGCATACATAGATAGCCAATATCATCATCTTTGCAAAAATACAAATTGGTTTATACACTTTTACTTCCGACCCAAAGTTTTCAAAGTGGGATAAATAATATAATAAATCCTCAAACATGGCTGTATTCAGCAAAATATTAGATATTTTGAAAGCTGTTGTCAAAAAAAGATAGTTAACAAATACAGCATACTTTAAGCACCTTGTTATGATTTTTTAATTAAAGAACGAGAATAAAATTATTAACATTTATTCATGAAAACATTTTGATGAATGGATTCAAGAAGATTTGGAAATTAATAGCTTAAGTTATAAACAGTTTTCCTTATTACTTATGAAGTTAAAATTCAAATTTAAATTGAATTAGAGATTAATCACTAAATAAGGTTAAATAAATGGGAAAAAAAGACAACATATGAATACATTTTATCGTAATGACACTTCAAACAAACTACACCTAATGACCTTAATATTGCGCATTCTGACAGCACAGCAACTTCAAGCTCAAAGTTGTAACTTTTCTAGCCTATGTCTCTAGTTTTTAACACAAAGTGTTATCAAACACAATACAAATGTGTGAAAATACCAATCAGCAAGAATATTGCGATTTCGCTTACTTATGGCAATATTTGAGCTGATTTTCTTTAGAACAAAAGGTCATTCATAACTATATACTAATATTTCATTTAGTAAATGCTATTTACATCACAAACTATTAATTCCAACCTTGATATTTTTGAAATTGAATATCAGAATTGACATATAATAATTTTCTGCGAGTGATATTTTACTTACAGCCACACGTTTTGAGTAAAAACAGATATTAAGGCTATCGCCAATTTGTTACCAGTCAAAAATATCCCTGACAATTACTAATCTATAAAATCTACATACATGGTAATCCTCCGATTAAGAAATCAATGTAATCTAATTCTAAAGAATAAAAGTAAAATAATAAAGGAAAGCTCTGGGTAATCCCCTGGACATAAATATATAATTAAGTTCAACATAATAAATACAATTTATATATTAATATATATATATGCAATTTTTCCACAATATTTAGAACTATTATACACAATACATATAAATATATACATACATACATGTAAATAACACAAATAAACTAAAAGCACTATTTTAACAAATCATGTATGTACACATACCATATATAACAATTTATAATATGGTTACTCAAGTAAAAAAAAAAGGACTTTGGTTATTGTATTCACAAATGGAAAATATGTAAATACATAAATTTATAAGACCCCGTTTAAACAAACTAAAAATTACAATAATAATATCTGAAGAAGTATGTCAAAAATGAAACATACCAAAGGCAAACAGTAGCCTAATAAAAATATCAATATCTATACTATCACAAATTAAAATTCCACTACCTATTAGATTAGATACTTTTAATGAAATTGTTTTGTAACAAACAGAGTAAATTAATGAATGAACTGAAATACTTCAACATGCTAATAGAGACAAATATAAAATATTTACTAAATAATCTTTAACTACAACTTACAGTAAAATCATTATCACTGAGTAAAAAAATAAAAGCTAAAGTAGAGAGATAATAAAAATGGGACAACTGATATAACACAATAAATTCTAACAATCGTGATTTAGGCTATAGTTATATTCTTAATGTAAGTTGGAAAATTCTTAAATATTTGGCAAAAAAGTGGAGAGGAAGGAAATCCGAGTTGACAGAAAGAAAAACTATTGTATGAAAAACTTCCAAGTTTTTAAAATTTCAAAAACTTACAAATATGAACTAGCTGTATTTAAATGACAGGAAACATAGTTCCAACACATAAAATGAACTACTGAAAACTAAATTAATCCCTCATTAATACAAACTTGGTGGAGATCCAATCTCTCCAGAACCGCTTTCACTAAAAATCTTAATTCCTTAATTTTGGCACTTGCGCTGATACTGGTCTACTTTGTTCCTCTATAAATTAACATTTTCACAAAAGTGCGTCCAGACATAACGAGGATAGACATAACAACTATGTCTATCTTCTCCTTTTTATTTTAATGATAATTTAATATTATTTTATTTCACATTATTAATTTCTTTTTGCTATTTTAGTTGCTACTTGTCCATTAGGAGGCCTGGAGGAAACCTCTGTTATTATCTAATGTTACATCACACAACTTTCCTTCTTATCCCCTGAATGATTTGATTTATTCCATTGTTTATTTTTGCTCCATTTGTGTTATTTTCGTCAAATTATGTAGGTTATTACATTCTGGGAATTACCGCCTTCAGAAGAAGAGGCTATTGAATATTTTCAAAACGCTAAGATAATTCTTTTCGTACCACTTGTAACAAAAAAGTTTCTATAAGGAAAGGAATGTGGTTAGAACTTTATGTGTTTAAGTTGTTTTTTCATATGTTGTTTAAGTGTTTTGTTATTATTACATTAATTTTTGTATATTTTATATATGTGTTGTAAAATTAAAGTGTTTTCTCATTGTTGTGGAAATTATTACATTTCTTTTTGGCTATTTCAATTTCAAACCAAACTGTTATGTTATTATTACATTTGTTTTAGTTTATTTAATATATATGTTGTAAAATAAAAGTTTTTTTTTTATTGTTACATTTGTTTTTGTTTACAATTTCAATAATATGAATATAATACAATATATGTGAATATGAAGATAGGAATTACGAGAAGGCTTATCAGAATTATCAGTGTTCAGGTTATAAACATTGGCCGATAGTAGTCAGTCCTGTCCCGCTAATGGACAAATACCTTTTAGTTTTTTTATGTCAGACCACAATCCACATTAAATAAAAATATATTACTTGCTTTCCTCTCATTAAAAAACTTTTTTTTTTACAGGAACAAATTTTCATTAAGAGAGTGTAATCAGAATTGAATTCAAATGATCAAGAGGCAAGTGATGCATTAAGAATCGTTAATAAATATCTTATCAGTATGCTGGGTCATTTATCAACTGTAAAGAATAGTTGAGCAGCTATAAAGTTTTATCCTACTTCTATCTCTTGTACGTAGGGTATGTTTATGTTAACCGGAAACTTCACTCTACTACTAGTAGTTAAAATTGAATATCAATTTGTGTTAACAGAAAATTTCTTCAAAAATATACCAGAAAACACACTGTTTTTGCCGAGGCAGCCAAATTAGCTGGATATTATCCAAACATTCGACATTAACCGAGTTCGTATTAGTGAGGGATTGCAACATACAATAAAAATAAAAATTTTCTGTCATGTAATGGAATCTTTTCATTAAGCGTAAACAAGATTGGACTCTGTTATAAAAAACATGAACAAAAATACCTTCCAAATAAAGGTAAAATTTTCTAAACCAAAGAGACTTCAACATACAGTTGAAAATGACAAATTAAGGTAAGGCAATCTACGGGTGAAGAAAACTGGTTTCCTGTTCCGTTCCTTCACACTCAACCACAGTACCTAAATCTCCTAATGATATCGTCGTTGAAGGGGAATAGAATACAAGATAAAGGCGGAACGTAGAGGAAGAAGTATTTTCAGAAATACCCCTACGAAGTAAAATAGCAAGGCTAATCATAGCAACACATCCAAAGTTCTAGTATGGCAGTCCAGAGGCTATATCAATACCTTATTCATTAGAGTTCAAGTGTGTTGTGAATTGTTGCCAACATGTATTAGATTGTTTTACTAAAATATACATTACAGTAAAAAACTAATAAACTTTTAGTATAATTAATTTTAACCAAAATCAGCCAAAACTTAATAAGCCTATGATAAGAATGTAAATTTACTGACATATTAATTTAACATTTGAATAATAACTTTATAGTTTCTTAAGTACAAAGGAATTAAAGAATGGTAAAAATTCAACACATATATAAAATTAAAATTAAGTCATATCTGGAAGGCAATGAAATATCAGCAAAATATAACTGCTTTCACTCAAAATTTATTTGGTAATATTCATTTTGTAATCCCTATAATACAATAATAACATATGAATAAAATAAATTCTATAAAAAATAAATAAATTGTGTTCAATAATCTTTAAATAAGTAGGTTATAAATAAAAGTTTCTTTGTGCTTAAATCTAAATGTATCACATACAATATTCTTTCCTAATCTTATTTTGGTAGGACCTATGGGGCTGATGATCTAGAAAAAAAAAGAAGTAAAAGTTACATGATAAATTATAATTAAAAAGGAAAGCTAAGTACATATTGTAGTTAAAACAAATCGTGTAAATTATCTTTTTTTTCCATTTACCCTCTCGTGGTTATTTCAATCAACCAACATATTCCAGCGAGAGTTGAGAAGAATATCAAGGGTCCTCTCTGAAATAAATTTCAACTCGAAATAAAACACAACCCGAAATGAAACCAGCGGCTGTAAACTGAGGTTGCAATGGTGACGACTCAACGCCATCCACCACAGACTCAATTAATATAATATAATATCTGTTCGTATGATGTTCTTTTATTCATAAAAATGCTAAACTTGCCAAATTGTAATAAAGGCAAATGTTTTTTTACTTCTTATTAAGAGGACCAAGAAGACTTTAATTAAGCCTGTCCTCTAACTCCATGAAACAAATTTGCTGAGGATCAAAAACCTAGATTCTTATTTTCTACTGCCATTCCTTATCCATTACAAAACAAAAAGAAAAGAAAAACAAATTCCTGAATCTCGTTCTTATTCCTAAGCAACTATGACTTTTTTTCTCATGAAATTGATAACTTTTTTAAATATACCGTACTAAAAAGATAAACAGACAATAGAAAAATTAAACAAAGAAGTCACATCAAATCTAGGCTACACTAATCTTAATTTTAACAGAATTTCCGTATTTAAGAATTATTCGGCTTTAGCATTGCACTGCAAATTATTATACATTGAACAAAGTAAAGTATATTACGCTTTTGAAAAAATAAACATCATTTAAATAAATAAAAAATTCATCCAGAATAAAAAAAAAAAATTGAAATATATGTACCTCAATTAGATCAAGGAGCAATATTACTGACATCGATAACATCAATGCCTTCTTCTACAGTCGAGTCCACTGCAACAGATACAGTAGTCAAATTGCTCCACCAATTGGACAAAGCACCTTTAGCTTGGGAAATTGCCCCACCTGAAAGATAAATGTTAAACAATCAATAAAAGAAACATGATACTTACTTATTTGATTATTATTTTAAAAACTATACTGATTTTGAATGATATCCGACTGTGTAAAATAGTATAACATCTTACCAACAGCTCTACCAGTTGTTGCAACTACACGTCCGGTTGAAACCATTGCCTGATTAAGTTTTCTTCCACCTTCTGTTGTCTGCATAGTACTGGAAAAGTTTTACAACATAAAAGAAAGCAATATATATTTCAACTAAGTTCATATTTAATAGAAAATATAATAATAATTATAATTAAATATTATCATCAGATATCTCCTTTTAAGCTCCATAAAAGTAAAAATTAATAAAATATTTTAGTCCTTTTTATTTTCAGTTGGCAGCAGAGAACATGGAAAATTTTTGGGCGTAGGATATGGTTTTCGATCAAACACAGACAGCAGATGAGTTTGGAAAACGTCATCCAACCTCAAGTAGCTACCAAGCATGGTTTCTTAAGGGGACCCACCCTACAAGGTCATTCGAAATTGCATTTCGAGGCACTAATGGCGTTCCGAATGATCGCTTACGGTAGTGAATGAAGTACTGATGGACATGTCTGGCAGATTTCTGAAAATCCGAAAATCAAAAGTTCATTCACGAGAAGTGGAGGCGAAACTGAGGTAAAAGTAGTGGGGAAACTAACCATAGTAGATAGATTAGTTTACCTAGGCTTCACAACCATTATAAATTCCTGGTATTCATTAAAAGTAAATAGTTACAATAGTTTTTCATATCCCTTGTTTATATTTTATAAAACATCTTTAACTACTTTTCTTTAAATAGTCAAATGGGCAATAAATTTTAAAAAAAAAAGTGGAAACTTCACAATTTAATTATAGGAAAAAAAATTTAACTGTTGTGTTAATTTGTCATTAACTTTTCCGTTTTTCTTAACAAATTGATTATTATCGCAATACTTTTTCTAAATTTCTGTAAGTAGTTGACTTATATATTTCTAACTTTGGTCTAAACGATTTTCAGGCACTAGAAAGTAATTATTATACCTCAATTTTTCTCTTGATGTTCATTAGTATAAAGGACAATGTTCAAATAAGCTTTAATGAAATAGTTTCTTAATAATTATAATTAAAAGCTATATTTCATAAAATAAGAAAATAAAGGACTCACTGTGCTAGACGCAGCTTCATGTCTTGAACACTCAGTTGTCCCGCAAAGGGGTGGCCAGGATTCACTTCTGAGGTAATATTTTGTGCCTGAGGATTGGCTAACCATTGTTTATAACTAGAGCTTTCATGCAAAGCAGCAACATACCATTTATTGAATTGCTCAATCTCCTTGCTACCTTCTAGAATGGTCGAATATAACATCAATTACAATGTGATAATTAGAAAACACCAATACAACTAATGAACAAAATTCAAAAAAGTAGAATTAAAAAATAAATTATTCAGGATATTTAAAACTGTATTAATATAAAAATACATCTAGTAAATGTGAAAAAATGGCAAATGTATATGATGATATGAAAACTTGTTGGGACACTACCCACTGCTAGCTCTCCAATAATATTTGCATTGGAAAATCAAGGGACCATCTTCTTTTTAGACGCCTCAGAGTGTTATCAGGAATTGAAGAGGAAGCGAGGTTGGAAACAAGAGGATTCAGATGGTTCAGAAGTTTATAATGAAAGAATAGTTATCTGGATTGGGCCAAATCAAAAACATAAGGAACATTAAGTTCGTTATGAATGATTTTATTAATCAACAAGTAAGGAGTATTGAGGATTTTAGAATTTAAAGATTGGATATGAGAGGAATTTGATGCTTTATGAAGCTCCAAAGCTCAACTCCGTTAGTCCAAGTAGACCTTATTGTAATCATGTATATGAGTATTTTGTAATTAATTGGAAGCTTAGAGCATTGGTCTAGTAAGTGCTGAAGTAGTCTAAATCGTCTTGCGGTTTCTTTTTATTTCAGTCTGACATGAGAATTTCAAGTTAGACATTTAACCAAGTGGAGTTCTATGTATTCGATTTGTTTATCAGGGATAAATAGAGTATTATTAAAGGATACTTTAAGACAGGAAGTCATAGGTTTAAATATATTTATAAAATTTAATTCCTTTCTTCATTAAAACGTGTTATATGAGGTTTTCAGGCAGTTGAGAATAAGGACAACTAAATTTAACAATTTATTGCTTATTGTTATCGATGAATTACAATTTAAATCGCTATTTAAGTAAAGCAACCTTACCATTGATAACATACGGAGAGAGGTATAGATCTGTTTTTTATCATTTTTATTTAAAGTATGTATTTACTTAATTTACATTGATATGTATATTAAATTTTTGCTTGTAGATTGAAAACAATAAATTGCTAAGTACCTTCTATGCTGATGATGATTACCTACACACAATGATTAAAACAAGGAGAAATTCAATTTTTTTAAAGGTCAAGTTTATATGACAAAGAAATTTATGTTCACCTCATACTGACCGACTGCTAGTTTTAAAAGTTATAAATTTACTTTGAGAATCGGATTAGATTAAACTAACAATAAGAACCGCCTGAGACATACTGGAAAGATTAGACTTCACATAAATGTACAGTTTATATTTCTTGTATGTCTATACAGGCGGAGGGCTCATCACCCGGTCATCGTACCATGATCAACCACTGGTCCTTCAGGTTGAAGGAACATTTTTTTGTTTTGTTTTTTTCTTGTTTTTCCCTAACTCGCCTTTTAGGCTATACAGGGTTTTCCCGGGCAGGAGAATTTAAAATCCCCTCCAACAACGGGATGCGAACTCATACTTTTTTAATCACTCATAACTTCGGTTATCTGGTTGCCAGGCAACTCGCGGTGCTGTGCCCAAGTTGGGGCAACAATTAACTAACACTCACCATATTACTTCAATTCTATAACACAAAATCATTTTCTTGTTATCGTACTCTATAATTAAACTTATTTACCAGGTAACAAGGATGTCCTTAGTAATGACAAGGTATAAGCATGAAACTGCGCACGGACCCAATCGTCACCTCCTTCCCAACCGACGCCATCAAGGTAATCTCCTCTCATATCAGACACATGGCGCACGAGATATTCCCCAAACCTCAGATCTTCAGTAGAAAGGTGACCAGCTCGCCTTAACTCCAAATCACTGCTCTCAATTATGCCAGTTTCTAACTGAAACAAGCAAAATTTTAAACTGATGAATCTTTAAATAAAATAAAGAAATTAATCTAACAGTAAAACTATTATTGTAAACATCAGAATCAAACTAAATTACTGGAAACTGGCAATGACATTCACACCTCTCCAACAGTTCCCATCCAGGTGGACCATTGAATGGGCATGAGAAATTGTGCCACCATTTTTTGGAGTGATAAGGTAAAGCTGTAATTTCTATTAAATTCCTAAACTCCTTTATGCAACTTTGAAACCATAATAGGTACTTTATACCGCCCCAATACAGGGAAGATGGTTGTTCTTCATTCAATTAACTTGCTCAACATTTCCTCCATTGTAATGAATTGTCAGAATTATTAGCTATATCTTTAGCTACCAATCCTTTGTAATCAGGGATCTACACTACTTATGTTTTGCAAATTTGTTATTAATGTTGTATTTGTTATTATAAAAAATAAAAGAATCTATTTAGAAAAAATGGAGTAATAACAATTAACAAGGTATGACCCAGAAATCAACACTATTTTATCAAGTCATGCAGAAAAGTAAAAACATAATTTTAATAGTTCTCTTTCAAGAATAAATAGAAATGGGTATCTAAAGAGTAAGTCAGTCAGATTCCCTACCCCTTTCCAAAATAAAAAAATAAAAAGAAGAGGTGAAGTTATAAAACTTTTTGGTCACAATATCCAAACATATTCATTAACAGATGAACTATAATGAAGAATGAATATTGAAAATTACAAGTAAAATCAAACTTCAGTATGGACCGAATATTAGAACAACATTGTTAAAAAACATTAGGAGATCGAGAACTGCTGTATAAGAGGTCTTCCTTGTCCTTAAGTCCCCTAACAGAAAAATGGGCATAGCAATAAATTTTAATATTAATAGGCAAATAGATGGTTGCTTAAGAAATGAAGCCTTCTGATGAAATCACTGTTCAAAATGGGCCTTACACATTTAAATATCTTGGTGAATTTACATAACGGAGCACTGAAGAAGTAAATAAAAATAATGATAATTCAGCTGAAATAAGAAGAATAGCCTCTGCTAATAGAAGCTATTAATGACTTCATTGACAGCTCGGAAGTAGTTTGCTTTCAAGTACAACAAAAATAAGAATATGTAAGTCACTAATCAGGAGGGCTATAAGTCACTATTATGAACGGATCTGAAGTCTGGGGTTTTTCTAAAAGTGACAAACGAAACCAAGTATATTTGAAACAAGGTTCTTCCACGTATTTATGGTGCCCTAAGAGAGAATACAACATGAATAAAACATACAAACAAAACTACGATGTTTGCTTGAGACCACACCATAGAAGTGAAAAAATCAACATGGTGAGATTAATAAAATGAAATATAATTTTTTTTTGTCTTTTTCCCTTTCTAAAAGGGAATTGCGTAGAGATACAATTTTGAATAATAGCTAATTACAAAGATGATGAAATATTAAACATTTCTCACACTTACAGTATGCAGGTTCGATTTTTAATTTCTGATATATTTTAATCCATTAGTCAACAAACATATGGCAGGCCATGTGGCAGAATAGATGACCATGAGATTCCAAGAAAACTTCTTGGTATTGAAAGGTAAGAGTTTTCTCTGGAGTTGCACTTAATTGAATGAAATGGCAAGCTACTTGAGACAACTATAATCCAGTGATGGATTGTAGTGCAGATTGGTGTTGAAAGCAAAAAAAAAAAAAAAAGATAAACTTTTGATTTACAATTTAAAAAAAAAAAACCATGTACCGCACTAACTCTTAACATGCAAGAAAATGTGTGGAGTGGGAGAACAGATAGCTAACTACTTATTCAAATAATTAATTTTTTTTTCTTTAGAAACTTTTTAGTATTTTAGTTTTGTTGGCAAAAATGACTGGAAAATTTTTTGATAATAAGGACCCTGAATTTTTGACAATCTAGACAAAAACCACTGAATTTTCCTGATTTTCCCTGTCTCTAGAAACCTTAAAGATAACCGAAACATAGACTGACAATTAATAATAAAAATGAACTTACCTCGATAATAACATCTGCGAGGTTTTTCTTTTGTTTAAACAAAACATTAGTAGCTCCAACAACATAACCTCGAATATTAGGATCAGTAAGTACATCCATATATGGCAGAGATAAATATGGAAGACAGAGGTAACCCTAAAGAAAATAAATATAAATAAAGCTCATTGCGGTTAAATTAATTCAGGATCATAATAAAAAAGAGTGTATATCATAAAAAATATATGACCCACAATTGGGTATGGCGCAATTGATGAATTAGGTCATGTTGAACAATTTTATAGAAAGTAATTTTGTTTGACTACATTACTTTCACTAATTGCTAAGGAAAAATAAATAAATAAAACATAAGCAAAATTATAGATGTGGAGTACAGATGTAACTGAATTATGGTTTTAATTCAATGAAAATTGCAATAAACCATAAGCTGCAAATTTCTTCATATCAGCAACTTGAATTTATCATAGATTACATAAAAATTGTATATATATATAGTGTATATATTATATATGCACACATATATCATGTCATTACATTCATTAATCTTTAATTTATAAATGTAACATACAAAAAACGAGAAACAGGTTCAAGGTAGTCAGTTTGATATTGAGAAGGTTAAATAAGTGTCCTTCATTTTTTGCAGTAGGATATTGTTAATAATTTTTTAAAAAAATTGTTGCTAAATACAAATAAATATTATATCATTATATAGTATACAAACATACTTTAATACAAACTCACATTTGTAAAAATAGGTAAGGGTAATCCACAATTCTGTGCATCAATTTGAGCTATAGCAGCAAGAGTGTTCTGAACATTAACTTCACTAGCGAGATCGACACTCGAAGCATCCCTCGATAACATTCCGTTACATATCTTGGTAGCATCTTCACTGTTTCCATTGAGTTCAGAGGGTACAGGTGTTGAAGATTCTTCCTTCACATCTAGTGGCATATCTCCCTCTCCATTACCATTAATTGTTTTATCATCCATATTGTCTGTCGCTACTTCTCTATTAACATTTTTGTCTTCACAAGACAATTTTGAACTGTCGGAGAAGTTGGGAACAGGTGACATTGGTCTTGATGCCCTATATGTAATAGAAAAACTTGATTTACTCGACAAGGTAAAATAATGTTTAAATACAAATATAATATGAAATCCACTGATACATAAATAATCTAGTATCATGTATATTCATTACAATTTTAAGTTTTAAATTTCACAAGTTCTATTTATTTTTACATATAATTCTTAATTTAAAAAGGAAACTTTTAAACTCTACCAGAGGGTGATGGCCATTAAAATCTATTTTACGAGTAAGTCATGAAAAAAAAGAAAGTATTTTACCCTCTATAATATGGAACCATACCAAAATTGAAATGCTTAAAAAATATATAAATTGACATAACGCAAAAAAAAACAAAAACAATGTCAGGTAAATATACTCGGGGTACCCTTCAGTTCATATTAAAGTTAATATTTTATAAATTAAATATATTTGAGAATATAATATACTGAAGTGACATGGAAGAAACTGAAATTAACACAGAACATCTCGATAGATAATCATAAAAAAAAAAATGATAAAATCATGATAAAACTTCTTTTAATTAGTACCTGATACATGCTGATTCATACAATCCTTTTTCAATCATACCAGGATGCAAAGAAAGTAACGATAGAATTGTAGAACAGAGGGGCTGGACAGGTGATTGGAAGAACAAAATCTTTTTATCAAGTAATAACAGTTTATACAACAGTAATGCTTTATGTCTGAGTGCCAATATTAAATCCCTAGCTGATAAACCTACAACAAATATGTTATCGAAATATTTTAAAAAACAAAAAATCAATAATTAAATAATAAAAAAGATAAATTTCACACATACCAACAAAAAGTTGAGGGGCTTGATGCAAATCTTCTATTTGATCCAAGCAACTATTTAAGTGATGGTATGTATCCTCAAGAAGGCAAACTTTGGTAAAATCTCCTTCATCAAAATAAGCATGCGTGATTAGTTCCATTTTTACTTGAATATGGCCATACAATGGTACACTGCTAAGCACACAGACTGCTTTTTGTACAGTTCCTCGGGTAATGTCAGAAGTTCGGTTTTTGAGTTTCTAAAAGAGAAAGTAAAATGAAGTTTACAATATAATTCTAATTAAATATTGATAACATATAATTGAAATTTCATATTTACTTCAACAGGTATTTGACGAAAACAGGAAATTCCGAACACAGTTTCATTAGGGTGATTCAAGCCAGGAAGATGAAAGAACACCGTATCTTTATCATAGTTATGAGATCCATCTGGTAAGGCAAGGGTTGGTAAATATTTCCAACCAGTAGGGCATTCAGTGCTATCAACTGAACCATTTGGTATTAAAGGTGGATATGAAAACTCAACCTATGAATACAAAATAGATAAGCAAGTTGAATTGAATGATTAGTTTCATAATAATTATTAATCACACATATTTAATAATATAATAAAATGGGGTCAATTCAACAGTGTAAATTAATTCTGAATGTAAACTGACAAAACATAGCAACATATAGTAAACAAACTGACAATTGGGTTAGCAAATGACTAGTCAATAATATACAATCTATTAACTGGTAATAATTAGAAAAGTTAATCTAGTGGAAAGAGAAGAAACTGCTGATACAGCTACAACACAATGAGTTGGATTCATAAAATTACCACCTAAACAAAATTTTATAAATTATTGAACATTACCTGGCAACCTTTTTTATGGTGAAAACCAACAACAATGACATGATGAACCGGTCCAGGCGTGGATGGTTTAGAATCCTCCCCCATTTCCAAAATGAATCACTTAAAACAACTATATTTACTCTTTAAAACCATTCTCGAAATGGAATGATTACAGGCAATACAAGAGCCCCCATAATGGCATTCTGCACCGGCGCACTCTGTGGAGCCCAAGGGAAAACTCAATAAACTTGATACACATTTAACAAATATATAATTTATTGATTACAGTGAGAAAATAAAAAAATCGAACTTTGTACAAAAATATTAACAAGATATTAAGTTTTTAAAATAAATAATTATTTATTTTCTTTTCGCCTTTCTTTCTGGGACAAGGTGAATTTTTCATAGAATTCATCATCATCGTGAGTTCCGTCAGGACTCGGTATTAGCGGAGCAGAAATGTTAAGCTTTTTTACCAGCATCTGAAAAATAAAAGTGAAACGATACCATGTATAAAGAACACAATTTTCGAATATATTATTTACATATTAAAATAAACAATTACATAAACTTAAATTAGATAAACCTTTTTTTCCACAACTCAGGAACCCGCCAAGTTTTTTTTTCCAGTTGGCTCCACCAAATCATGGAATGAACAACCAGTTTGTAAACTAAAGAATTTCATTTCTCTACTATAGTTTGTGGAACCGTAACCATCGACACTATACAACTAGTTTGTGAACAACTATCTGATCTCTTCACTTAAAAAATTAAATTTACGGCTGTCTCAAAAAGAGATTAATTGTAGTGATACCAGAGTATTTCTTCAAATGGATATATCCTATTGGTTTTTTTTTCTAGTAATATAATTTAAAAGAATAAATTGCATACGAAGAAAAGTGTACATGTGAAGTCGATCCATTATCAGGATTTTCGAAATCACTATCAAAATTTGGTTAGATCGCGAGTTTCAATATATTTATGTTGAATAATCTAATTTAAAAAAACGAATCAGTATCCTCGAAAACCTAATGAACGATCTGTACATCAATATGGCATGAGGGATCAAAAATCCGATAGTTAATTTGGATTCAGCGTCCTTGATTTCTAAACAATGATACATTTACTGAAAAAATGTAACTGTAATATAAATCGATATCCGCATACGCGATCAAAAATTCAATTGGAAAATTAGATTTAGCGTGCTTGAAGAAAACCTAATAACTATCTTAACACCGAAGAAAAGTTCAATTGTAAATCACTAAATCGTATTGCACATGGACATTTAAATATCCTATAATAAATTTGTGAGAAGGAGTTAGTCGAGGGTGCGGTCAAATAAATAAAAAAATTAAAATATATAAATAATCTTAATTTTTGCCGACGTTTCGACCCACTTTGCAGGTCGTCTTCAGGGCGTAAGGATGTGGCACTGCGGGAGGCAGTTGAAACACTGGCCAAATTATAATAAATTTGGATTCTGCGTCCGGAAGATTCAAGTAAATAATCCTAATAACGAAGGCAAATTCAACAGTAACAATAAATTGAATTCAAGTTCGCTTTCGAAAATCATAGCCTAATAACCTCGTACATCGTATGCTGCATTGAATGGGGATAGGTTTATTTTTATTTTCTTGTATGGGATAACACTGAGATTCAAAATCCAAGTTTCAATTTTAGTGCCTCTCCTGATCATTTTTGAATTTCCCAAAAACTGGTATATTTTTGCACTTTTTTTGTTTTTTATCCATGAAGGAGCACGTTTTCGACGAAAAACATATAATGCATTTTAAAACTAGATTAAATATGCTACAATCTAACACCAGAACTGGCCCAGTAAATCAAATAGTTTAGAAGATACAGATTTTTAAATTTTAGAAAATTATATTTTCCATTTAAATTATTTTTCATGTTTGATGATATGCAATTGTCTTTTATCTTCAATAACCTGTCTGATATGAGTCAGCGAAGTAAATATTCATTTTATTATTTTGAAGGAGGAAGATTTGGTGGAAGAGTCCCTGGGCCAGACCCTCCTACGTCAATATAAATTGCATATCGTTTTGTTCCTTGTAACTACATATTAAAAAAAAAAGGCAATGTTCTCCCCCACAAAAAAGTGGTCGCACTTTCCCAAAATGGCGTCCAAACATGGCTGAGTGACGACTTTAACTTGAGTTAGTTTTTCATTCACTGAGATTCAGTATTAAGTTGGCTTATTTTATTTTATATTATTATTATATAAGTTGTCATAATTAGTCTTTTATTAAAGCTAGATAGTCAGAGCATAGATTTATAAAGTTTATAATAAATGGATAAAGCATAATTTTTTTTTTTTTAATGGATAGAGCATTAAAAGCGGCACTGGCGTAGGCCCTTATGAAAAAGATCGAACGCAATAAATGACTCAGGTTATTCTAGCTCACTTATTTTATCAATTATTTATAGCTCTTATTATTTATAGCCATTCCCATATCCATGTATCCTACTCCTTCAAAATAATAACTTAAATAAATGTTTACTTCACTAACTCTTATAAGGCAGGTTATTGAAGACATGAACATGAAATTACCTTAACATTTTCAAATTTTGAAAATTTCATTTACAATTTTTGTATCCACTTAATGTGAATATTGGTTAAAATTATTTTTTACTTTAATTTCGGTCTTCTGAAAAGTGATCTCCTCTTCTCCCACCAAAAGTTCCCTTCTCCTTTAAAATGTTAAAACGAATAAAAATTTACTTCACTGAATCATATCAGACGGATTATTGAAGATATAAAGAGACGTGCATATGATCAAACAGGAAAAATAGCTTAAAATTTTCAAGTTGGAATAATTTCCAAAACAATAGAAAACTTGTATCTCAAAAGTTATTAAACTTACCAAACCTGTTTTGGACTTCAATTGTGGCATATTTAATCATCAGCATGTTTAGTTTAAAATTGTATAGAACGTTTTTTGTCGAAAAAGTGCTCATTTATGGTCAAATTGGGGAAAAACAGAAAAAAGTGCGAAAATATAGCAATTTTGGGGGTTTTAACAAGTGATCCGGGAGGAGGGGCGTGGAGGTCGAAAATTTTGATTTTGCATCTCAGTCACATTCCATACAAGAAAAAAAAAAAAAAAGAAACCTTCTACCCTATTCCATGTACCTTAGACCACGCTTTTCAAGACAAGGTTACTGGGCTATCATATATAAATTAAGATTCAGTGTTTTGAAAAACATAAAAAGAAAACCTACAATGCGTATATTACGTATTATATGCGTAGAAAACTCTATCCAACTAATAATTAATTCAAAATACCCATGGAAAAATAATTATGTAAATTTTCATTTTTTGTGATCTTAAATCTGACTAGAAGAAATCACCACAATATCAGTAATCAAATAAACGAAAACATGTCCTGAGAATACGGTGAAATTATTTCAATAGTCACTATTAGAATCAAAATTATTTTAAAATAAAAAAAATCTGGTGCGGTGCGTACATCACACAACTTTCACTTACCACTTTGAGTAAAAATATGTGTCATCATTTTGGTTTATTATTTTCAATAATCAACCATTGTGATCGACCAAAAAATTCCAAAACTTAACCCCCTCTCAAAATTTGAGGTTTCACGTTTCAGGATGCGTAGAATTCGAAAAACGAAAAAAAATTTTTTTGTCCGTCCGCCGTCCGCGCATTTTCTCCGAAACTACTGGACCGATTTTTTTTTTCAAATTTTGATATAAAATCAGAGGTCACCCGAGGATGATCCTCCTTCATCGACATTACTCTCCGCCTTTAGCTTTCAAAATGGCGGCCGAAAAACCTGCGTTGCTATAGACTGTAGCTCCTAAACGAATGTACAGATTTCAATGGAACTTCGCTAAAGTAATTTTAATACTTTAACGAAAAGAAGCTGGAAAAAAGTTACGAGGGATGGTAAAATTAAATTCCGAATAACTCGAAAAGTACACACTTCTTTGTGGATATTGTATATGGTTTTAAAAGTTTACCGAATTTCCTAAAAAAAATAAATAATCGTTAAAATCGGACAATTAGGAGCAAAGATATGGTCTCCATTTTTTTAAAAATATGTTCTACTCCAAATGTTAGATCCTTTGTTTGGTTTTTAAATTTTGAATGTGTTACTGAAGTAATGCTAGTTTTTTTTTATCATATTCATAATGATTAAAAAAAAAGTTCAGTCGAATAATTGGAATCACCTTTTTTTTTTTTTTTTTTGTAACTCGGAAGGTAATGTTACTTTAGATGAATAATTGTTTGGAAATAATAAACCATTGTGAAATAATTTGCAGCGTTTTAAATTTTAGGCTCAAAACATCTGGGTCATTAGCGCCCGTAATAAATTAATACAACTATTAAAATATTTAGCTGTAGCAACTGAAAGTAAAAATCATAGATGGTACAACATATTATTTGAAACAATTAATTACTATATGTTTTTCTCGTCTAATATACTAAATTTATGTGTTTTTTGCCACAAACCACTTTATTTATAAATGTATATTTTAATTAATTATTTAATTATAAGAAATAATTAAGCGCCACAAATTCTTTTTAGTCCAACAAGAGGATCAGAAAGGACGTGAGATATTCATTAATATTTCATTGTCGGTATTTTTTTTTCTTTGTTATTTAAACACTGTTATAAATGCAAATTTTAATTTTTATAATTCCGTAAGCTATACAATTAAATATTAAATAATACCAGCACTAGCATATTGAAAACCGTACATATTTAAGTAAAAACATATAACCGAAACCTGATGTTGACCAAGTTTGAGGGAGCACCCTAGTTTCTCCTGCAGTTCCCGGCTCCACATTACCTATTATCCCAAACGCGAGCAAGCCTCTTAGGCAAATTCTTGATTATACGGTCTGAAATAGTTAATTTTTTAAAACAAACAAAATTAAAGGTATTTTAGAGGAAGTAATTTTGAAAAAATTGACATTTACGCCCTGCTAGAGAACATTGATGAGAATAAAACCTACCTCATATTAAAAAACACTTAATTGTACATTACCATAACGATTATTGCAAAAATCGTAAACATTTGTCAAATCGATGATATGAAGTGCTACTTCCAGTTTGCTGATTTTAAGGAAAAAGTTGCTGTAACATCCCAGGCATATTAGTTACTTGTTTGTGAAAGGGCCTGAATTAAATGCACAATTACAG